GGAACATGAGATCATGCCCCAGGGGGGCTGGCCATACTGCAATCCTTTGCAATCCTTTCCTTTCCATTCTCCTCCTGTGGACCTATGCACACATATACACATGCCCAGCGTGAATTTCAGGCTGCTGGGTCTGGGACTCAAATCACAATCAACTTTATTGGAGTCAAATGACATAACTGTTATGCCATCTGCTGGTCCCAGCTCTCACTTTTAAAAACCAATTATCAGGGCCAGTAGATGGCATAGCAGTTATGTTGCTGGACTCCCACATGACTGACAGCAGTTCTAATCCCAGACCTAGTGGCTTAATAGTCACTCTGGACATATGCGTGTGCATGTCCCAGTTCCTGGGAAGAGCATGGAAGAGAAGGGATTGCAGTATGGCCATCCCCCCCAAAGGAAGTGATTACTCACATTCCCTCTCACTGTTTTTCTCTCCAGTAAGCGCATGTGCCCTATAGCAAAAATCTCTCTGAAAAATAAAAAAAAAAGAGACATAATGTCAAATATGACACTCACATGGACAAACCATTCACATCAATTTTAAGGGAGAAAATTCCCTTTATTAGTGCCCTAAATTGAAGAAGAACAATGATTAATAGCAGAAACAGTAGCCAATACCATAAACATTTTAATTGGTTCAGCTTTTACACAACTGAGAATGAATAAAAGTTGAGAATACTTTCTACTTGATGGGTGCCGAAATTGTTGTGCCCAAACAGTGTAGACATGAGCAGGAATTTCAATGGAAATTTTAAACAAGCAAGCTAAGATCCTGAAACATTAATTTCTGAAGAATTGCAAGAGGAGATGACACATGGCTTTATCAGTAAGATCCTGAAGACAAAGCACAATCAAAGCAATGACTACCAAGAAATAGAAGTGACAGAGTCAAAGCAAAAGCAGATCGGATAGGTCTGGCAACAATGTTTTGAATATTCAAGGCAGTTTGTTTGCTGACTTTCTGGAGGGCCAAAGAACACCTGCTTTTTTTCAAGGGTGTTTTTGAGAAAGTTAGCTGAAGCTTAACAGAAAAATATTCAGGATAGCTTTGGTAAAGAATACTTCTCCACTACAAGATTATTCTTACTTATTCCTCTTATGTAAAAATTTTGTGAGAGCTTTGATGGGAAATCATCAAACATCCACCTTACAGTTCTGATTTGGATCCTACTGACTTTCCTTGACCATAGTCTTTATCTAATATTTTAAAATTATTATTCTTACATTAAATCACTATACATCATTTAGATTGTAAAGAGACTTTACCCAGTTTGATTTACACCTCAGTCCAGCCTAGTTGAGACTATTATACACATTTTCAACAGATAATAAACCTTATGTATGTCCCACAAGTGTCTTACCTCTCCATTTTTCCCCGTAATTTCTTTTCTTAAGGTCTTCCCCTCTCACACTCTCTTTCCACTTTGTCTCTAGTGTCTATTGCAATTTTTAATACTTTTATGTTCTCTAGTCCTTCAGCCTCTACCATAGAATTTAGATAGTCGGTACATATTAAGTGGAGACATACAATGTTTCTCTTTCATAGCCTGACTTGCTTCACTCAGCAACATATCTTCCATATTTCTCTAATTTCTATCAAATTCTAAGGCCTTTTTTATGGCTGAATAATATTCCATGGAGTATATTTGTTTATGATTGAATAGTATTACATGGAGTATATGTGCCACAATTTTTCAATCCATCCATCAGTTTGTGGACATTTGAGATGGTTCCAAATCCTAGCAATTTTAAATAACATTGCAATGAAAATAGTTGTACAATCGCTTTTCCGACTGAGTGCTCTCCTGTACTCTGGATAGATACCCAGGAGTGGAATTACTGGATCATATGGTAGTTCTATTTGAAGGTCTTTGGATCAAATTGTTCTCCACAGTGGCTGGGCCAATTTACATTCCCACCAACAGTGTAGGAGTGTATCCTAGCAATTTTAAATAACATTGCAATGAAAATAGTTGTACAATCGCTTTTCCGACTGAGTGCTCTCCTGTACTCTGGATAGATACCCAGGAGTGGAATTACTGGATCATATGGTAGTTCTATTTGAAGGTCTTTGGATCAAATTGTTCTCCACAGTGGCTGGGCCAATTTACATTCCCACCAACAGTGTAGGAGTGTTTCCCTTTCACCACATCCCCTCCAACACTTATCATTATTATATTTTTAATCTTTGCCAGTCTGACTGGTGTTAGGTGGTATCTCATTGTGGTTTTGATCTGCATCTCCCTTACACTGAATGAAGTAGAGCATTTTTTTACATGCTTTTTGGCTGTTCATATGTCTTCCTTAGAAAATTGTTTATTCAGCTCATTTTTCCATCTTTTAATTGGATTAATCATTTTCTTCTGGGTAAGTTACTTGAATTCCCTGTGTATTCTAATAATCAGTCCCTTATCTAAGGCACAGTTAACAAAAATTCTCTCCCGTTCGTAGAGTTGTTGATTCACACTATAATTACAGTGTCCTTTGCTGTGCAGAAACTCCTTAATTTGATGTAATCCCACCTATTTGGGGAATTATTGCCTGTACTTTGGAGGTCTTGTTTAAAAAGTTTTTCCCTACCCCAATGTCTCCAGTTTCCCCAGTGTTTGCCACCAGTAGTTTTATGGTTTATCTTAAGTTTAGATCTTGGACCCACTTTGAGTTGATTTTTGCTAATGGTGACAGATAGGGGTTCAGATTCTTCTTTCTGCAGGTGGATACCCAGTTTTTCCAACACCATTTTCTAAATAGTCTTCCCTTTTCTCACTGGATTGGCTGGTACCCTTTTTCAAAGATGAGTTGGCTGTATGTTTTGGGGTTTATTTCTTGAGTGTCTACTCTGTTCCATTGGTTCTCATGTTTATTTTTGTGCCAATACCATACTGTTTTGATGATCACAGCTTTGGAATACTTTTTTGGGTCAGGAAGTGAGATACCAACTACTCTAGTCTTCTTGTGAAGGATGATTTGCCTGTAGTCTTAAAAACAAAATATCTTGGGTTCCAGGTAGAGTGGTGGTTATTGTGTCTGCACATAATACCACATAGTTGACAGATCATATTTTTAATCTTTGATTTTTCTTTTTTTTTTTTTGTCATAGGGTGCATGCACTCACAAGATAGAGAACAGAGAGAAACAGAGATGGAATGGGAGAAATCATCTCTCAGGAGGGATGATCATACTGCAATCCCTTCTCTTCTATTCTCTCAGGATCTTGGGCTTGTTCACACATGTGTGATTCTAAAGCTACCAGGTCCAGGACTTGAACTTCAGTAGGCCATATGGAAATCCTGCATCTTAACTATCATGCGACCTGATGGCTTTATTTTTATCTTGTAATTCTGTTGTTTTTATGAACTTTGTGAAGTCTCATCAAATTATTTAATACTCATACTAATGTATCATTTGACATAAATTCTATAATGTAGATAGAAACTTCTAGTTTAAATAACTAGCTCAAATTACTAGTGAGCAGCAGAAATAAGAGAAGAGATATTTTTCAATTTAGTGTTTGCCTCCAAACCTTGAATGCTAAGTAACCCTGAGAAAATAAATGACTTTAATGTACAGGGAATTGATACTCATCATTTTACTAGTTGTTCACTTCAATGTATCTCTCAGTGTTGTTCAAACTTTAATAATAGAATATTTTTATCAAGCCACTAAAAGAGATAGCTCCAATTTCTTTTTTCTAAGATAAAAAAAAGAGACTACTCCTCAGAGGTATAAAAAAGTGCTTTATATATATCCACAAATTTTGAACTCATTCCAGTTTTATAACTTGTTCTGCTGAAAATGTTTTAATTTTGATTCAGTGCAATTTGTTTTTTTATCTATTTATTACCATAAGCCCATGTGCTCACTGGAGAAAGACATGCCATAATCCTTTGCTTTCATTCTCCCCTTGGAACTTAGGGTATGTCCACGTGCCTAGAGTGATTTTCAAGCCACTACATCTGGGACTCAACCCTTGGTCAGCCATGTGGCTGTCCAGTATCTCGACCACTACTTCTGGTCCTAATTTATTTTTTTTAAACTATGTTTTTGTATGGTATTTTTTTAAAGAGGAAGTTTCGCTATAGAGAATGTAAGCTCACCAGAAGAACAGAGAAAGACACAGAGATAGAAAGCAAGACATAACCCCTGGGGGAATGGTCATGCCACAATCCCTTCTCTTCCATTCTCCTCTTGGGTTTTTGGGAACACATACACACATGACTGGCATGAGTTTAAGCCACCAGGTCTGGGACTCAAATCACAGTATGCCATGTGGTATGCCCTGTTGGAGTCCAAAAATGTAACCATAAAAACTTTTGCTGGTCTCCCATATATGGTATTTTAAAATACTTTACATAATCCTAACAAAACTTGGAAAAATTTTCTGTTCTGTTCTAAACATTTTATAACATTAAATTATAATTTATGTGACCTGCAGATGGCATAATGGCTATGTTAATAGATTCCCATGTAGCTGACACAGTTTGAGTCTTAGACCTGGTGACTTAAACTCATGCTGGCCATGCATGCATGCCCAAGATCCTGAGAAGAGAATGAAGGAGAAGGGATTGTGGCATGGCCATCCCCTCAGGCGGTGATTTCTCTCTTTCTGTCTCTGTCTGTCTCTGTCTTTCTGGCGAATGCATGTGCCCTCAGTGAAGCCCATGGTTACTTTCAGAAGGAAAAATCACAAATATCACCTTCACCCTTTACTCATGAATAGTTAAAATTATGTGTTTAGCAATCTCTTGATTTGATTGTCACATACTGCATGCACACTTTGCAAAAGCGTATTGTGTGCTACAGAGATGTATAATTATGAATAAGAAATCATAAAATAAAAAATAAAAAGCCTGTTTTTCTCTGTCGCTGGACTCCCACATAGTTGACCGCGGTTTGCATCCTGGACCCGGTGGCTTAAAACACACCAGGCGCGTGTGAGTGCATGCCCAAGATCCCGAGAAGAGAATGGAGGAGAAGGGATTGGATATACTTATGGGATACACTGTTATTTTTTTCAATACACGAGTCAGGGCAACCAACATATCCACCACCTCAAACACTTATCATTATTTTATGTAGATAGTGAAAGTTCTCTCTGTTAGATATTTTGAAATATATACTAAATCATTACAACTGTAGTTACTCAACAGTGTTACAGTACTCTAGAAGTCATTCCATTTACCTGCATGCAACTTTCTGTTAATAAGCTTCTCACTATGCCTCAATCCCCCACTTTGTTTCACAAACTTTTTGAAGTCTTCTGTGCATCATTGTTCAGTATAGCATTAATTGCTATGGAGCACGTGATCTGCATGCATGTAACTTTTCTCGTACCATCATAAAACTGAGCAAAATTAAGTTTCCAACACATGTGTTGTACAATAGCAATAGTATTTTATTACTAGTTCTTTAACCCTGAAGTGAAATTTTTTTCTCATAATGTATCAGTGTAATAATATGTGACATAATCTCTAACTCTCTAATTTCCCATCTACCTCTCTGATTCCAACTATAGCCTTTTTCCTTTCTCTTTTAAAAATTATATCATAATTCAATGATCAATATAACATTATCTTATGTGCTTTTGCAAAGATGATTGTTATGCAATTAATCTCCCATACCACCTTTTTAATCTATTAAATTTTCAAATATTTTTCAAATGCAAGAATAGTATTTAATTATTTATTACTTCAAAATTTGAAATCCTGTTTTTCTCATATTCCATAGAAGATGGTGAAGTCTACTAGTTAGCAAATAGCTCTTTTATTCATATCTAGTTCTTACCTTTGTACAGTTGTTTGGATAATTTGTATATTCAAAGTCATTTTGCACTTCTTTCAAAAACAAAGTTTGACACCAAATTTTTCTCATACTATTTTTCATCTCTGTGTTTCTCAGTGTATAAATTAAGGGATTGAACATAGGAGTGATAATGGTATAAAACAGTGCAACTACTTTATCCCCAGGGAAAGTGGTAGGAGGTCTAAGGTACCCAAATATTGCAGGTCCGAAAAATAAGATGACCACTGTGATATGAGAACCACAAGTGGAGAGAACTTTCCATCTTCCCTCTGCTGATTGATTTTTTAAAGTGAATAATATAATGACATAAGAAACAAATAAGACTACGAAGGTAACTGAGACAAGCACACCTGAATTGGCAACCACGAGGACACCCATAACATAGGTATCAGTACAAACAACTTTCAGCAAAGGGAAGATATCATAAAAATAGTGATCAATTTCATTAGTACCACAGAAAGGCAACTGAATTGCCATAGATAACTGAGGAAAGGAATGAACAGCCCCACCAGTCCAAGCAGTCATGACTAAGAGATTGCACCTTGTCCTGTTCATTATAGTCATGTGGTGAAGAGGTTTACAGATGGCAACATAGCGATCAAAAGCCATGGAGGTAAGAATAAAGACCTCAATACTGCTAACGCAGTGCATGGTAAAGACTTGTAACATGCGATTACCATAGGAAATAGTTTTTGACCCTCCTAACAGGCTGCCAATCGGTTTGGGTACAACGCTAGAGGTATAACAAATATCTATAGAGGATAAATGACTGAGAGAAAAGTGCATTGTTGGGTGAAAAAGAGGACTGCACAGAATGGAGAGATAAAAATCAGAAGATTTCCTACCATAAGGACACCATAACAGAACAAGAAGAGCACAAAGCAAAATATTTGTATGTTCTGGTCATCAGAAAGTCCCAGAAGAATAAATTCTGAGATATTTCTCTGGCTTTCCATGTATCTGAGTTGATGGTTTCTTATACACAAACGAGTTATCTGAAAAGAAGAAAACATAAATTTGGGTGAAAAAATAAAAGATTCTCATGGTAATGTGAAATTTACTAAAATAAAATATACGTATATAGGATATGAATTACTGACTTATGGAATTAAGCTA